CTCCTGGACTAGAGACAGAAGGAACAGTATTTCCAAAAGCAAAAAGCCCAGGCACTTGGTCAGAGCCAGGTTTTCTGTGTGGTTAAGAGCACTTAAGGTTGAGAATCCACACTTTCATGGACAAATTCTGAGGCCCTGGGAAAGACCCCAGCGACATGCTCAGAGGATATTATATTTCTGTAAAATGTGGAAAAGTGAGATCTCGTATCAGCAATTAGTTAAGATCACTGCCTCCTTCAATTCCTATGCCCTGACTATCACTTAACTTCTCATGTTGGTAGTGGCCACCTGTCTGTAAGCATATTTAAGATCCAGTTAAAGAGAAATTGAATACAGTATACATTTACTTTGGTTTGAATGAAATATATTCCTGTGGTTCACAATTATTCTACATATCAATGAGATATTGCTAGCCATGACGGTTTGTAAGAAATGGCTTTCAGGAATTTCCCTAACGCCTACTATGCTGACTCGCCTGACATCACAACACAAATGTGCAGAGCCAGAGGCTGTACTATGACATGACATGTTTAGGCTCCCAGGAACAGAAGTGTGTGGGTGAAGAAGGAGACAGGGGGAATCAGGAGCCAATCTTTGGAAAATTCTTCCAATCATCAGACTTGTAAATTTGCAAATGGAGGGTGCAGTTCCCATAAATGCCTAGTCAAAGCAGAAGTTCTCTTTCTGTCAGGAAGTTCTCTGTCAGGAATATATTCAATAATACAGCATATACAATCATCAACACACATTTTTTTCTTTTGATAGCCATTGCATGAAATAAAATTTTTCTATTACAGTTTCTGCATTTGGAGAAATACTAGAGAGAGTGTATATGTGAATGAAACTTTTTCATGACCCATAATGGATTGTGGAAATAAAAGAAACTTTCAGAAACTATCAGTAATAAAAAAAATTTTCAATCAACTGTGCTAGTGAAAAGCTTAATTTATTCTATTTTATCTACACTAAGTGATATAAAATTTAAATTGTTGGCATATGAAGAGGTAATCAAGCTCATACATTCAAAAACATTGGGGAGAGGGCATTTTAATTTCAGGAATTTAATTTAATTTTACTTGTGATATTTATCAGCTCTTTTAAATGTATTTTTGTGTGATTTTCTAAATTTAAGTCTACCATTATATCTACTTTGTGTTCTTTTTCTTAGAGAGTCCTCCAATTACATAAGATTTAGGTGCTGCTATAGACTGAATGTCTGTGTTCTCCCCACCGTCCTCCCAGCCTCCAAATTCGTATGTTAATACCTAACCCCCAGTTTGATGGTATCAGGAAGTTGGGTCTTTGGGAGGTGATTATGTCATGAAGGTGGGCCCCCATGAATGGGATTAGTGCCCTTATAAAGAGACCCCAGAGAGATCTTATCCCTTCTACCATGTGAGGACACAACAAGGCAGCCACCTGTGAACCAGGAAGTAAGCCCTCTGCTAGCACCTTGATCTTGGACCTCCTAGCCTCCAGAACTGTAAGAAATAAATTTCTACTGCTTATAAGCTACCCAGTCTATGGTATTCTTTTATAGCAGTCTAAACAAACTCAGACAGGGCTCCCCAAACCTGGATTCACCCTTGCACTGGCATAAATCAGCAGGTAAAATGCCCGTCTTACTGACCTAGCAGAACTTCAACTGGTGTAACATTTGAAAGCCATGAAAAAATAAAATAATAAAGGATCTAGATGACAATAATGTGGTTAGTTTACATGCCAGCCACTTCAAAGCAATGAGTTTTTGATGTTTTAAGTTATTCAACCCAGGAGATAAGTATTTAATCTGCAAAGACCTGTGGATTTGAAATTCCACTGCCAAATATAAAGAACAGTCTTTAGATTGTTACTTGTTATATCTCCATACAGATTATATTTATCAATCATTGGTACCATTCAGCTTTAAAGGACGCCTGTTGCTAAATTAGGCCAGGGAATAAAGGTCCTTGGATAAAAGTGGCCTTGGTAGAACTAAGAGAGATGTCCTTCTGATCTGCTCTATACAGTTTAAACTCTATAGGGAGAATTAGAGTTTCTATCTGGCACAAAGTAAAGTCACCCTCTTGTTAGTGGATATAAGATACCTTTAATCACCAAGATATGCAAAGAAATTGGAGAGTTCCCAGAGGGGAGGGGGAGGGAGAACTTAATGCTAATGATTTGAAGCTTAATAAATAATGTGAATGCTTATGTTTAATAAATATCTGATGAACTTTTAAAAATGTTGTTATCACTGTCAACATTTTCAAAAGTTCTACGTGGAAAGCGGAAATAGCATTTCTCATGATGAAGTTTTTAACAGCATGAAGAGGTACATGAGGCTAAAATAAGACATTGTCCTTATCACTTTTTACAATAATATCTCAAAACAAGTTACAGAAATTAACTTGGTAACCCTTAAATTCTAGATAATTTTGAAACAATACCACTGTTCATTACCTAGGCAATCTGTAGCCTAATGAGATGAAGAGATTAAAGGTTAAATAGTAAATTAAGTGCAAAAATAAAGGTGAGGAGGAGGGAACTGGAAGCTAAAATCCTGAGCACAAATTCTTGAACTAACCCATTCCAAGACGTTTCTTCCCAAGATACACACTCTGTTTCTTCTTAAGAAGACACTAAGGCCCTATTTTCAATAAACTAGTAAAGTTCCAGAGACGATTTAGTGGTCACTCTGAGAGTCATTCAAAGGATCTAATTATATTCCAATAGTTCTAAATACATTGTGAACCACAGATAATTTTGAAGAATTTGATTCACAGAAAATGTACAGAATAACAAATCAATGAAGAACATGCTTATGGTAGGAGATCCTTATTGGATAGTAATAGTCCTATCTGTTCACACTTTTTACTTCCTCCAAATTCTATTTCATTCAAATTCTGGGAAATTAAAAAACAAACAAACAAGCAAACAAACAAATAAATAATAAAATGGAAACTAGGCATCAGGCATCTAATGTATATTCTAGGATATAATCCTAGAATCTTTTTTTTTTAATCTGAAAGGGATTTTATAAATCATCCATTTAGCCTTCAACATTCTTGTTCTACAAATCTAAAAGTTTATAAGACATGCCTGAAATAGTAATTTAGTTAGAGGCACAGTTAGGACCAGAAAACAAACCTCCATTCCTACTAGCTACCCACAGGACCATCATATTATCACATCACACTGCCGCTTCCCAAACCTCCACTCATTTGCCAAAAAAAAAAAGAAAGAAAGAAAAAAAATCTTACAGCAGATTGTCACATTGAAAAGTAACTCTAGGTTATATGAGCAGAATTTCTAAGAGCTTAACTTTTTAAAAATTGTTTTTAATCAAATTGAAACATATATTCCCAAGAGACAGATCATGAGAATGCAATTTTGCTTTTAAGGTTAGGGATGGTGTTAGCACAAAGGTAAAAGAGAAAACTAAGTGAAAGGGGAAACTACACAGAACTATATATTCAGCAACTCCATTAAAGCCATATGCTGGATGCAGAGGAAAAGGAAATGAAAAGCTTTGAAATGCAGCTGTCCCACTCCCTGCTATTTCCACTCAAACTCAACTATTTTTCCACCAGAATCCAACACTTGCGCAGTGACACATGGAAACAGGGTGAGCTCATGAACCCAGGGGAATAGAACCCAGCATTCCCAGCGCAGCACCCTGGAAGCACCTGGCCACTCCCAACCTCCTCCCCATTGATGGTAAATGTGGAAGAAGATCGAGTGATGGAAAAACCCACTTCAGAGCAGAAAAGGAAAGCCAAAAACTAAGTCCGACCCCTGGCTGCCACTTACCAATTATACCAGCAGACAGAATCACTAGTCTAGTTGAACAATACTTTTATTTATTAAAATCAGAGCAAGGAAATCCTTTGAGACACTGGAAGACAGTGATACCAAAAACTAGTAATCAATGAAGAATATACAAACACTGGCGTGATTTGTTTTGCTCAAGTTCCTTAGGAAGGGCTTATTTAGCAAAAGAAAACCTCTCATCTGAACACAGGGCAGAACAAAACTCAAGTCACAGAATGGAAGGAAGCCGTCTTTTATTCCAACATTTCTCCATGTTTGTATGTTTCTAACACTGGGGTATTAACATTTTTAATTGAATCTTTAAATAATCATTGTGATGAGAACCACATTATGGGCAAGACCAGGCTCAGTAGATGACCTTAAGTGAGATGGTCTGCTGCATTGTTTCCAGTAATCTGGTTTGGTGATACATTCTTCTCTTAGGTATTAAGGTCTGGTTTGAATTAAAGTCTGCAGCATGCTCAGAGCTGTGAGAGTAACTGAAAGGACTTGTTTTCAACTGGCGGCCAAAAGCCTTCATTGTAGTTTGTAGCATACGGTTTATTCATATAATTACTTACTCATTTGATGAGCATTTATTGACATCCCACACACACACCTGATGCCAAGCACTGCACTAGGTGTACATATAAAACATGACCTACTTTCAAGTCCTGTTTCTGCCAGGTATTTACCTTACAGTGGGGCATGATATTTAACCCCTCTGTTTCCTCTTAGGTTTATTGTAAGAACTGGATGCGATAATGTATGTAAAATGTTCAATAAATAGTGGTTTTAAAAAGACAGCCTCTGCTTTTGAGTAGCTCAGTCTGAAGTATGACATGTACATAAACAACTAAAATGTACTTTGATATTTGCTACAACAGAGGGTGTACCACCGAGTAATTTGAGAATACAGATAAAGGAGTGGCTACTTCTGTCTAGAGTGGGGCTAGAAGGGGATGTCACCAACGAAGCATCAAAGAGCAGGGGACCCTGAAGCATAAGTACAGAGGAGCAACGAGAGACATTCAGAGAATTCACTCTGCATTCACCACGTCCTTGGAAGGTGAGGAAGCCCTCCAGGCAGCAGCAGAAGAGTTCATCCCCTCAGGTAGGATGCTGACCATTTCCAGCTTCACACCTCACTGCGTGGCCCTGATACCACTTCTCATTCCCACAAGCACACACAGAGGGGTCTCACTCACCTGAGGCAGCAGTTTGGAACAAGGCTAGGGAAAAACCAGGAGATGAATCATAGAAGAAGCAGGGAGGAACTACTGGATAAGCCTAGAGTTAAAAAAAAATAGTTACAATATATAATACACACAGAGTACATAGGACTTAGTAAGCATTCTATTAAGAGAAAACATTTCCAGTCACCAAAATATTGGAGTGGCTGTTTCTTATAACATGTAATAACAGTAATCTATAGTCACAAAGTAGTAAGTTTATCACTAATGAAGCAATGACCTAGTATGGAGATGGCAAATAGGAGGGACCATTGTCCCCTCTCCATCCCAGCGCAGATATTATTAATCAACCTTGGCGTGCCTTCTCATTGAACCTGGGCACAACCTTAGAATCTTGGCTCTCACTGTCATGCCTGAACTTGTAGCTCTGTGGAGAACATGCTAAAAACAAAAGACTGTAAAGAACATGATCTTCTGCCTACAGAAAGTTCAGAGTTGCAGTCTCATTCAACTAATTAAGAGAGTCATGCAAATCCAAAGTTCAGCTTGACTCCAGACATTCACTGTAAAAATGGGGCTGAAACACTATGTTGGATATTGTGGATTGGCTCAACATTAAGGCCAGCTCCCTTCTAGAATGTAGAAGCTGGAAAGCTAAGAAATGCCATCTGGTCCCTTTAAATTTACGGTCCAAGATTTTGATTCAGAAACATTCTCCTGGAGAGAAAGGCAGGGTTCTGTGGACATTTTCCTGGCCGGGTCTGTGACGGATGCAGCATTGTCCTGCGGACAGCAGCAGGGATAGGGCCTCCTGCTCCAGACACTCTGGCCCAAGCGGAGGGAGACGGTAGTATCTCACCGTGATGCTCAGGTCTGGAATGAGATTTAGGGAGTCATCAAAGTTCAACCTAGGAACTGTTTTCTACATCTTCCTTCTCCACAATGATTCTACAAACATCTTAAGAGCCAAACATCTTTCTGCTTAAAGGGGCTAGACTTTGTTGCCTACAGCTGAACTCTGTGACTGATAAAGGTATGAAAAAAACCTAGCTTCAACAAAATTTGCTGGAAGAAAAATATTTAGTAAAAATAGTTCTAACAGCATGAAAGGTTTAAAGCTCATTTTCTTGTAGCTTCAGCTTAATAGCTCTGTGAAAATGAATTCAAAATCTGTATTTCCACTTCCATCCTCTAATCCGGTCTGCCTTCTCTTATCTCAGATTGCTTCTTGGACTTCCACACTTGGATTTTCTGCCAGCACCAGGAAGTCATACATCAATAACTTCATTTTTCTTCTTCTCTTTCATTACCCTGGTCACCTGAACTCCAAATTTCAGCCTAATCACACATCTCCCTTTCTCCCTTACCAAATCCTGAAAATTCTTCTGCATATTCTCTCTTTCCCATCTCTCTTTCACTACCACTATCATCAGTCTAGTTCAGGTCTTTTCCAGCTCTTGCTTGCACTAGTGTGTTATTCTATCTGGTTTTCTTGCTGTCAGTATCTCCCCAACCCCCTTAGTCCCTCAAATTTACCCTAGCTATAGTAACCCAATTAATATTAAAAATCATTCTCGTCTTGACACTTCCTGCTGAAACATTTCCAGACTTCCAATACTTTGAAAATAAAATTTAAATAACTTAAGTTAGCACTCAAGGCTTCCACAGTCTGCCTGCCAACTATCTACCCAAGATTATTTCCCACTACTTCTCTCATTAAATCAACAGCCAACCACAGCTAACCTGGCCTATTTACTTCATTTTCTTATTGACATACTATTTTGAAAAGCAGTGCCTTGTACCCCATTTTCCCTTCTTGCAGTGCCCTTACTCTCTCCTGCATTTAATGTAATGTTGAATGAAAACTCAAAATTCCCCCTTCATTGAAAGGGAAAAAAGGGGGAGGTGGGGAGGATGCAGACTCCAAAAGCTATCAGAATAACAAATAGAAGAAAATTTACTAAATTGGTAACATAACATTTTAGGTTATTTTTATCGTTTTAGTCAATTGACTATCCAACATAAACTTTATTTAAATTCTGGAAGAGCTGTGACCTGGTGTTAGTCTTGTGGTTCTCCGGGACTGAAAATACTATTCAAATGGGCTGAAGCCATCAGAGTATACACATTGAATGAGAAATAGTACGGCTGACTTACAGGAATGACTTTTTGGTGAATGTAATTGTCAGTAAGATCAGACAAGAACTTGATTAACTTTAGCCAAGTGAAACAGCCAGGCAGATGCCTGGCTAGCTGAAATGCTCCATCACCACCATACATTTTCTCTGGGACAATTTTAGGATCTGCAGCAGGGATGCATTGTTCATTACATCCATCTCACCAGATGGACTCAACTGTACTTGTAGGATAAGGAAATGCTTTTCTTTTCCTTCATTCTCTTTCCTATTCTTCAGCATGCTTGCATGGGCAGGTAAAAGGATTCCCTTTCAGATACATAGCTTCTTGACACACATCATCATCTCTACTCTCTTCCTCCTGCCACTGCCCTTTTCCAATGGGAGCTTTGGCGTAGTACACTGAGTGATGCATCTGAATTCATACGGATGATTATGGTCTTAGGCTCATTTTGTTCACCTTGTTTGCTATCTATACCCATATTACACAAGAGATGGATGTCTAAGGCTTCAAGGGTTATTTCTGGTGCCCTGCCAATTGTCACTTGTCAAAACCTGAGTAGCTCGCACAATATTCTTTCTGTGTCAACCAACACTTCCCCAGAGGGCTGGGTGTTTCTCTTCATCTTCTCTCCATTTCCTCCAGATTTAGTTCAAAGAACTCTAGACCAGGCAAATGCACTCTTCTCTATTCTAGCAAGATGTGCCCTACCCCCAGCCAAAAGTCTACCATCTTATTATTCGCAACCATGAATGAGAGACCTAAATCCCATTCTCTGATCCCATCTTGGTAACTAGTCCTTACCTGTTAAATTTTTATCACTCATCTAAAGTCACAGAACTTGATTAGGAAAAGTGAATGACAATTTTCCTGTGCCTAAGATCCATCAGTTTCTTTTACTAGAAACTTCTTGACCAAATATGCTTCCAAACTCATTCCTTTTCCAACAAATGGGCTCAAACAAGTCTCTTTAGACTTTCTACACCAACTGTTTTACTGTGGAAAGACAAACCACATCAAATCTGCATATTGGCACCTACAGGGAATCAAAACGCCTGTTTTTCATTCTGAAGGTTAATTTTCACCTAACAATACTTAAGGCCCTCCTTGATGAATCATAATTCTCCCCAGGTTAGTATTCCACTATTTGTCTCATATTCTTTTCCTTTTTTTTTTCTCTCATCTAGTTCACATTCGTCTGCTCTCCTTTCTCACGAGCCAGGTATTGATTCACCATTATTCTCAGGAGAAGGCATGCTACTTCTCCAGACAGTCCAGATTGTATTACACTTCTCAGTATGAAGAGGCTCACATTTGTTCTGTTTACCTCTCCTTGGGGTAGATTTTTTTATCTTCTTCCTCTTGTCACTTTCCTTTACTTCTTATTCTCCTGACTCAGGTCTCAATTCTCTTCCATCTCATTGGAATTCTGTGTTGCACTGTTTTCTCATTTTCTCAGTTCTCTACAAGAACTGTGCATCCAACTTTTTTTCATTCCCCAAGTCCTTCCACACTCTGGTCAAGCCCAATGGCATGGAGTTCATACAGATATGTGGTTCTTTCCTCTGATGAGAATATAAATAGCACATTCGCTAGTTACCCTTAGCACATTACCCTTAGTTCCATTCCTAGGAGCCAAGTAGTTGTAAGAAGTTCTGGGATTGGAACCTGAAATGGAATCCTCATTCATTGTGACTCCTCTCTATGAACGCTTTGGTTGACAAAATGTGTAATCATACATCTCCCTACCAAAGAAGCTGAGAACGGCTCTGGAAATTTCCCATTACACTACATTCATCTACTCAGCCACATTCAAAGCTCAGGAGTGGCTGTTTTGGAGACCTTTAGAAATGTGAAACACTCCCCTCTCCCATCTTGTAGATAGAATGGTAAAAGTTCAGATTCCATCATTCATCAGGCCTAGCCAGGTAACCCCTGTTGTGAGATCTCAGGGCATTCTGTATGTTTCCTTCATAACGCTCTTCTCAGTTATCATCAGTTATTTGAGTGATTAATTGCTTAACGTCTGAGTTCTTAACATTGACACCTACCATCACTCTCCAATTTGCTACTTGTTACCCAAAATATGGATCCCAGGCAACAGGTATCACGGTCATCACACTGACTCTTCTGCAGTCTATGGAGATCTAACAAATCAACAAGCAGCAAAGCAAACAGGAATGACAGTGCACTTGTAGGCATGTGCTCTGAATGCAGATGGGTGACAGTTCGCAGGCACTGCAGAAAGCAAATGAAGGAGCTTCTGCCTGGGCTGCAGAGTTGCTGCTAGAGATTATAAACATTCTCGATCATGCCAGAACCTCCTGGGCAACAGAGTCACAAGAGATAGCTCAGTGGAAAAGGCTGCTTAGCTTCAACTCTAATAGCCTGCAAGGCAATTAGCCCCAGGCTGTGGCCTCCAGGGCATGATTTTGGTCACCTTGCAACAGGCGTGCTTTCCTCTAGTGGTCCAGAGTAACCTCACACCTGCTCTGCCAGCCATGCTCTCCCATCCCCCAGGGAGAATAAAATTTCTTCTCTCCTGCCCCAAACGATAACACATTAAACAATTTTTGTCCTGTCTGTTCAATAATTTTTTGTTCTTATGTCATGTAAATCAGAAGTAGAATGAACTGCCCAAGGACAAAAGAGAACTGAATTCTAATCTTAACCTTTGCCTTGGGCAAGTCACATTTCTGTTTCTTTAGCTGTTAAATAAGGAAGCCATATGCTTCAAGGTTTAGTTTGGTTTTATTTTTTACCTAGGGTAGACCCTCTAGGACAGAGCATTTCAACTAGGGGTCAAAACTTATCAGTGGACCATAAAATCAATTTTGGTAATAAAATGGACTTTATCAGAGCACACTGAACAGAGTAAGAGTTTTATTTATTAAACTTTTGTTCTGTCTACATGTGCATCTATGATTTGGATATTGAACATATCTCTTACTGTGGATAGAA